GCAGACCGTGGTAGCACGGAAGATCTGAGGCTGTCATGACAGTAGGTCAGTACACTTTTGCCGCGTTCTGGCTATGTTGAGGTGTTGCTTCAAAAGGGTTGGTTTTGATTTGTAGAATTGTTCGCATTTGTCGAGTTCGAGGGCGACAGCTTGGCCGAGTGGTTAAGGCGTTAGCCTGCTAAGTTAATGGGGCAACCCGCGTGAGTTCGAATCTCACAGCTGTCGACTTTAATGTCTTCCCCATGTGCATCAACGTGCCGCGCTCATCTCAACAACTCGGGCAGAAATGAAGCCAGACAGTGCATTTGTAGATACGCCGCTACTAGATACACGTATAGGCTTCACTTGTGGCCGAAGTGGTTCTGGACATGTGGTCCAAGTCGATGTTAAATAGCGCGCGGTGCGGCCAGTAGATAGGAACCACTTCGGTGGTCATCCGTAAAAATTGGAACGATACAGAGAAGATTAGCATGGCCCCTGCGCAAGGATGACACGCATAAATCGAGAAGTATCGCACTTTCGTTGCATTCTTGCACAAGCCCACTCGTTCCCTGACACGTGAAGCTGGTACATGACTATGTAGTCTACTTGTTTCAGCGCTCGACCCGAAGTGCAAGTGCACCAGAGAAAGAGTAACGCATGAGGGAAGAGGGGATCGAACCCCCGACCGCTGGGTCTGGAATCCAGCGCTCTACCACTGAGCTATTCCCCCACTGCTATGCCTTCACAACGGATTCCTCGAATACAACAATAATCGCGCATAGCGACGCTCCACCAACATACCGCACTAAAAACAGAGGAACGAGCAACGTCAATTCGCCATAACCTGCTTTGTGCGACAATTTCGCTGCTGGCAAACAGCCCATAGCGGTGTCGAAGCGAGCTCCATGGAGTAACACATCGGCCAGTATCTGATGGCGCTTTGAGAACCTCACATCGTGTAGGAGACGATCAATTGTGTATGGATTCGACAGGTATCCGTGTTCCTACGCACGGCAGTTTGAAGTGTTTACGTAGTTCATTCCTCCATAATGCCCCTATAGCTCAGTGGTAGAGCACTCGCTTCGTAAGCGAAAGGTCGGTGGTTCGATCCCGCCTGGGGGCTCATCTTTTGCCTGCACGCATCTCCACGCTTTCCTTTACCATGCTCCTTTGCGCGAGGCCATTAGTCGCTGAAGGATTCCCACATTTCTAAGCAGCAGCCTACTAGTGAACAAAGTAAAGCTAAGATACAGAGCCTCTCGAGGATGTACACAATCAGCTGTATGTTGGTGATGCAGGATATAGCATCGGTTTTTGGATGACATGGTTAAAATGTGCTGTACATGGCGACCAATTGAATTCACTCTCGCTATAACCCGATTAATAGGTACGAAGGGAAGATACGTACCCTACCGGTATGTCGTTGTGAAAGAATACCATCTATTCAGAAGATTCTCGATGCTGGATTTGAACGATGACGCTAGCCGATAGCGAGTGTTCAGTCTCGGAGGGTTAAAAGCTTCCATGCGTAGGGCAGTGAAGTGGCAAACGCTAACAATATGCCGGTGTACATATATGTGTGCAGACCGTGGTAGCACGGAAGATCTGAGGCTGTCATGACAGTAGGTCAGTACACTTTTGCCGCGTTCTGGCTTTGTTGAGATGTTGCTTCAAAAGGGTTGGTTTTGATTTGTAGAATTGTTCGCATTTGTCGAGTTCGAGGGCGGCAGCTTGGCCGAGTGGTTAAGGCGTTAGCCTGCTAAGTTAATGGGGCAACCCGCGTGAGTTCGAATCTCACAGCTGTCGACTTTAATGTCTTCCCCATGTGCATCAACGTGCCGCGCTCATCTCAACAACTCGGGCAGAAATGAAGCCAGACAGTGCATTTGTAGATACGCCGCTACTAGATACACGTATAGGCTTCACTTGTGGCCGAAGTGGTTCTGGACATGTGGTCCAAGTCGATGTTAAATAGCGCGCGGTGCGGCCAGTAGATAGGAACCACTTCGGTGGTCATCCGTAAAAATTGGAACGATACAGAGAAGATTAGCATGGCCCCTGCGCAAGGATGACACGCATAAATCGAGAAGTATCGCACTTTCGTTGCATTCTTGTACAAGCCCACTCGTTCCCTGACACGTGAAGCTGGTACATGACTATGTAGTCTACTTGTTTCAGCGCTCGACCCGAAGTGCAAGTGCACCAGTGAAAGAGTAACGCATGAGGGAAGAGGGGATCGAACCCCCGACCGCTGGTCTGGAATCCAGCGCTCTACCACTGAGCTATTCCCCCACTGCTATGCCTTCACAACGGATTCCTCGAATACAACAATAATCGCGCATAGCGACGATCCACCAACATACCGCACTAAAAACAGAGGAACGAGCAACGTCAATTAGCCATAACCTGCTTTGTGCGACAATTTCGCTGGTGGCAAACAGCCCATAGCGGTGTCGAAGCGAGCTCCATGGAGTAACACATCGGCCAGTATCTGATGGCGCTTTGAGAACCTCACATCGTGTAGGAGACGATCAATTGTGTATGGATTCGACAGGTATCCGTGTTCCTACGCACGGCAGTTTGAAGTGTTTACATAGTCCATTCTTCCATCACGCCCCTATAGCTCAGTAGAGCACTCGCTTCGTAAGCGAAAGGTCGTTGGTGTAATCCCGCCTGGGGGCTAGTCTTATGCCCGCACGCATCTCCACGCTTTGCTTTTGCATGCTCCTTTGCGCGAGGCCATTAGTCGCTGAATGATTCCCACATTTCTAAGCAGCAGCCTACTAGTGAACAAAGGAAAGCTAAGATACAGAGCCTCTCGAGGATGTACACAATCAGCTGTATGTTGGTGATGCAGGATATAGCATCGGTTTTTGGATGACATGGTTAAAATGTGCTGTGCATGGCGACCAATTGAATTCACTCTCGCTATAACCCGATTAAAAGGTACGGAGGGAAGATATGCACCCTACCGGTATGTCGTTGTGAAAGAATACCATCTATTCAGAAGCTTCTCGATGCTGGATTTGAACGATGGCGCGAGCCGATAGCGAGTGTTCAGTCTCGGAGTGTTGAAAGCTTCCATGCGTAGGGCAGTGAAGTGGCAAACGCTAACAATATGCCGGTGTACATATATTTGTGCAGACCATGGTAGCACGGAATATCTGAGGCTGTCATGACGGTAGGTCAGTACACTTTTGCCGCGTTCTGGCTATGTTGAGGTGTTGCTTCAAAAGGGTTGGTTTTGATTTGTAGAATTGTTCGCATTTGTCGAGTTCGAGGGCGACAGCTTGGCCGAGTGGTTGAGGCGTTAGCCTGCTAAGTTAATGGGGCAACCCGCTTGAGTTCGAATCTCACAGCTGTCGACTTTAATGTCTTCCCCATGTGCATCAACGTGCCGCGCTCTTAGCATGGCCCCTGCGCAAGGATGACACGCATAAATCGAGAAGTATCGCACTTTCGTTGCATTCTTGTACAAGCCCACTCGTTCCCTGACACGTGAAGCTGGTACATGACTATGTAGTCTACTTGTTTCAGCGCTCGACCCGAAGTGCAAGTGCACCAGTGAAAGAGTAACGCATGAGGGAAGAGGGGATCGAACCCCCGACCGCTGGTCTGGAATCCAGCGCTCTACCACTGAGCTATTCCCCCACTGCTATGCCTTCACAACGGATTCCTCGAATACAACAATAATCGCGCATAGCGACGATCCACCAACATACCGCACTAAAAACAGAGGAACGAGCAACGTCAATTCGCCATAACCTGCTTTGTGCGACAATTTCGCTGGTGGCAAACAGCCCATAGCGGTGTCGAAGCGAGCTCCATGGAGTAACACATCGGCCAGTATCTGATGGCGCTTTGAGAACCTCACATCGTGTAGGAGACGATCAATTGTGTATGGATTCGACAGGTATCCGTGTTCCTACGCACGGCAGTTTGAAGTGTTTACATAGTCCATTCTTCCATCACGCCCATATAGCTCAGTGGTAGAGCACTCGCTTCGTAAGCGAAAGGTCGGTGGTTCAATCCAGCCTGGGGGCTCGTCTTATGCCCGCACGCATCTCCACGCTCTGCTTTTACATGCTCCTTTGCGCGAGGCCATTAGTCGCTGAATGATTCCCACATTTCTAAGCAGCAGCCTACTAGTGAACAAAGGAAAGCTAAGATACAGAGCCTCTCGAGGATGTACACAATCAGCTGTATGTTGGTGATGCAGGATATAGCATCGGTTTTTGGATGACATGGTTAAAATGTGCTGTGCATGGCGACCAATTGAATTCACTCTCGCTATAACCCGATTAATAGGTACGGAGGGAAGATATGTACCCTACCGGTATGTCGTTGTGAAAGAATACCATCTATTCAGAAGCTTCTCGATGCTGGATTTGAACGATGGCGCGAGCCGATAGCGAGTGTTCAGTCTCGGAGTGTTGAAAGCTTCCATGCGTAGGGCAGTGAAGTGGCAAACGCTAACAATATGCCGGTGTACATATATATGTGCAGACCATGGTAGCACGGAATATCTGAGGCTATCATGACGGTAGGTCAGTACACTTTTGCCGCGTTCTGGCTATGTTGAGGTGTTGCTTCAAAAGGGTTGGTTTTGATGTGTAGAAATGTTCGCATTTGTCGAGTTCGAGGGCGGCAGCTTGGCCGAGTGGTTAAGGCGTTAGCCTGCTAAGTTAATGGGGCAACCCGCGTGAGTTCGAATCTCACAGCTGTCGACTTTAATGTCTTCCCCATGTGCATCAACGTGCCGCGCTCTTAGCATGGCCCCTGCGCAAGGATGACACGCATAAATCGAGAAGTATCGCACTTTCGTTGCATTCTTGTACAAGCCCACTCGTTCCCTGACACGTGAAGCTGGTACATGACTATGTAGTCTACTTGTTTCAGCGCTCGACCCGAAGTGCAAGTGCACCAGTGAAAGAGTAACGCATGAGGGAAGAGGGGATCGAACCCCCGACCGCTGGGTCTGGAATCCAGCGCTCTACCACTGAGCTATTCCCCCACTGCTATGCCTTCACAACGGATTCCTCGAATACAACAATAATCGCGCATAGCGACGCTCCACCAACATACCGCACTAAAAACAGAGGAACGAGCAACGTCAATTCGCCATAACCTGCTTTGTGCGACAATTTCGCTGCTGGCAAACAGCCCATAGCGGTGTCGAAGCGAGCTCCATGGAGTAACACATCGGCCAGTATCTGATGGCGCTTTGAGAACCTCACATCGTGTAGGAGACGATCAATTGTGTATGGATTCGACAGGTATCCGTGTTCCTACGCACGGCAGTTTGAAGTGTTTACGTAGTTCATTCCTCCATAATGCCCCTATAGCTCAGTGGTAGAGCACTCGCTTCGTAAGCGAAAGGTCGGTGGTTCAATCCCGCCTGGGGGCTCGTCTTATGCCTGCACGCATCTCCACGCTTTCCTTTACCATGCTCCTTTGCGCGAGGCCATTAGTCGCTGAATGATTACCACATTTCTAAGCAGCAGCCTACTAGTGAACAAAGTAAAGCTAAGATACAGAGCCTCTCGAGGATGTACACAATCAGCTGTATGTTGGTGATGCAGGATATAGCATCGGTTTTTGGATGACATGGTTAAAATGTGCTGTGCATGGCGACCAATTGAATTCACTCTCACTATAACCCGATTAATAGGTACGAAGGGAAGATATGTACCCTACCGGTATGTCGTTGTGAAAGAATACCATCTATTCAGAAGCTTCTCGATGCTGGATTTGAACGATGGCGCGAGCCGATAGCGAGTGTTCAGTCTCGGAGTGTTGAAAGCTTCCATGCGTAGGGCAGTGAAGTGGCAAACGCTAACAATATGCCGGTGTACATATATATGTGCAGACCATGGTAGCACGGAATATCTGAGGCTATCATGACGGTAGGTCAGTACACTCTTGCCGCGTTCTGGCTATGTTGAGATGTTGCTTCAAAAGGGTTGGTTTTGATGTGTAGAAATGTTCGCATTTGTCGAGTTCGAGGGCGGCAGCTTGGCCGAGTGGTTAAGGCGTTAGCCTGCTAAGTTAATGGGGCAACCCGCGTGAGTTCGAATCTCACAGCTGTCGACTTTAATGTCTTCCCCATGTGCATCAACGTGCCGCGCTCTTAGCATGGCCCCTGCGCAAGGATGACACGCATAAATCGAGAAGTATCGCACTTTCGTTGCATTCTTGTACAAGCCCACTCGTTCCCTGACACGTGAAGCTGGTACATGACTATGTAGTCTACTTGTTTCAGCGCTCGACCCGAAGTGCAAGTGCACCAGTGAAAGAGTAACGCATGAGGGAAGAGGGGATCGAACCCCCGACCGCTGGGTCTGGAATCCAGCGCTCTACCACTGAGCTATTCCCCCACTGCTATGCCTTCACAACGGATTCCTCGAATACAACAATAATCGCGCATAGCGACGCTCCACCAACATACCGCACTAAAAACAGAGGAACGAGCAACGTCAATTAGCCATAACCTGCTTTGTGCGACAATTTCGCTGCTGGCAAACAGCCCATAGCGGTGTCGAAGCGAGCTCCATGGAGTAACACATCGGCCAGTATCTGATGGCGCTTTGAGAACCTCACATCGTGTAGGAGACGATCAATTGTGTATGGATTCGACAGGTATCCGTGTTCCTACGCACGGCAGTTTGAAGTGTTTACGTAGTTCATTCCTCCATAATGCCCCTATAGCTCAGTGGTAGAGCACTCGCTTCGTAAGCGAAAGGTCGGTGGTTCAATCCCGCCTGGGGGCTCGTCTTATGCCTGCACGCATCTCCACGCTTTCCTTTACCATGCTCCTTTGCGCGAGGCCATTAGTCGCTGAATGATTACCACATTTCTAAGCAGCAGCCTACTAGTGAACAAAGTAAAGCTAAGATACAGAGCCTCTCGAGGATGTACACAATCAGCTGTATGTTGGTGATGCAGGATATAGCATCGGTTTTTGGATGACATGGTTAAAATGTGCTGTGCATGGCGACCAATTGAATTCACTCTCACTATAACCCGATTAATAGGTACGAAGGGAAGATATGTACCCTACCGGTATGTCGTTGTGAAAGAATACCATCTATTCAGAAGCTTCTCGATGCTGGATTTGAACGATGGCGCGAGCCGATAGCGAGTGTTCAGTCTCGGAGTGTTGAAAGCTTCCATGCGTAGGGCAGTGAAGTGGCAAACGCTAACAATATGCCGGTGTACATATATATGTGCAGACCATGGTAGCACGGAATATCTGAGGCTATCATGACGGTAGGTCAGTACACTCTTGCCGCGTTCTGGCTATGTTGAGATGTTGCTTCAAAAGGGTTGGTTTTGATGTGTAGAAATGTTTGCATTTGTCGAGTTCGAGGGCGGCAGCTTGGCCGAGTGGTTAAGGCGTTAGCCTGCTAAGTTAATGGGGCAACCCGCGTGAGTTCGAATCTCACAGCTGTCGACTTTAATGTCTTCCCCATGTGCATCAACGTGCCGCGCTCTTAGCATGGCCCCTGCGCAAGGATGACACGCATAAATCGAGAAGTATCGCACTTTCGTTGCATTCTTGTACAAGCCCACTCGTTCCCTGACACGTGAAGCTGGTACATGACTATGTAGTCTACTTGTTTCAGCGCTCGACCCGAAGTGCAAGTGCACCAGTGAAAGAGTAACGCATGAGGGAAGAGGGGATCGAACCCCCGACCGCTGGTCTGGAATCCAGCGCTCTACCACTGAGCTATTCCCCCACTGCTATGTCTTCACAACGGATTCCTCGAATACAACAATAATCGCGCATAGCGACGCTCCACCAACATACCGCACTAAAAACAGAGGAACGAGAAACGTCAATTCGCCATAACCTGCTTTGTGCGACAATTTCGCTGCTGGCAAACAGCCCATAGCGGTGTCGAAGCGAGCTCCATGGAGTAACACATCGGCCAGTATCTGATGGCGCTTTGAGAACCTCACATCGTGTAGGAGACGATCAATTGTGTATGGATTCGACAGGTATCCGTGTTCCTACGCACGGCAGTTTGAAGTGTTTACGTAGTTCATTCCTCCATAATGCCCCTATAGCTCAGTGGTAGAGCACTCGCTTCGTAAGCGAAAGGTCGGTGGTTCAATCCCGCCTGGGGGCTCGTCTTATGCCCGCACGCATCTCCACGCTTTGCTTTTGCATGCTCCTTTGAGCGAGGCCATTAGTCGCTGAATGATTACCACATTTCTAAGCAGCAGCCTACTAGTGAACAAAGTAAAGCTAAGATACAGAGCCTCTCGAGGATGTACACAATCAGCTGTATGTTGGTGATGCAGGATATAGCATCGGTTTTTGGATGACATGGTTAAAATGTACTGTGCATGGCGACCAATTGAATTCACTCTCGCTATAACCCGATTAATAGGTACGGAGGGAAGATACGTACCCTACCGGTATGTCGTTGTGAAAGAATACCATCTATTCAGAAGCTTCTCGATGCTGGATTTGAACGATGGCGCGAGCCGATAGCGAGTGTTCAGTCTCGGAGTGTTGAAAGCTTCCATGCGTAGGGCAGTGAAGTGGCAAACGCTAACAATATGCCGGTGTACATATATATGTGCAGACCATGGTAGCACGGAATATCTGAGGCTATCATGACGGTAGGTCAGTACACTTTTGCCGCGTTCTGGCTATGTTGAGATGTTGCTTCAAAAGGGTTGGTTTTGATGTGTAGAAATGTTCGCATTTGTCGAGTTCGAGGGCGGCAGCTTGGCCGAGTGGTTAAGGCGTTAGCCTGCTAAGTTAATGGGGCAACCCGCGTGAGTTCGAATCTCACAGCTGTCGACTTTAATGTCTTCCCCATGTGCATCAACGTGCCGCGCTCTTAGCATGGCCCCTGCGCAAGGATGACACGCATAAATCGAGAAGTATCGCACTTTCGTTGCATTCTTGTACAAGCCCACTCGTTCCCTGACACGTGAAGCTGGTACATGACTATGTAGTCTACTTGTTTCAGCGCTCGACCCGAAGTGCAAGTGCACCAGTGAAAGAGTAACGCATGAGGGAAGAGGGGATCGAACCCCCCGACCGCTGGTCTGGAATCCAGCGCTCTACCACTGAGCTATTCCCCCACTGCTATGTCTTCACAACGGATTCCTCGAATACAACAATAATCGCGCATAGCGACGCTCCACCAACATACCGCACTAAAAACAGAGGAACGAGCAACGTCAATTCGCCATAACCTGCTTTGTGCGACAATTTCGCTGGTGGCAAACAGCCCATAGCGGTGTCGAAGCGAGCTCCATGGAGTAACACATCGGCCAGTATCTGATGGCGCTTTGAGAACCTCACATCGTGTAGGAGACGATCAATTGTGTATGGATTCGACAGGTATCCGTGTTCCTACGCACGGCAGTTTGAAGTGTTTACATAGTCCATTCTTCCATCACGCCCCTATAGCTCAGTGGTAGAGCACTCGCTTCGTAAGCGAAAGGTCGGTGGTTCAATCCCGCCTGGGGGCTCGTCTTATGCCCGCACGCATCTCCACGCTTTGCTTTTGCATGCTCCTTTGCGCGAGGCCATTAGTCGCTGAATGATTACCACATTTCTAAGCAGCAGCCTACTAGTGAACAAAGGAAAGCTAAGATACAGAGCCTCTCGAGGATGTACACAATCAGCTGTATGTTGGTGATGCAGGATATAGCATCGGTTTTTGGATGACATGGTTAAAATGTGCTGTGCATGGCGACCAATTGAATTCACTCTCGCTATAACCCGATTAATAGGTACGGAGGGAAGATACGCACCCTACCGGTATGTCGTTGTGAAAGAATACCATCTATTCAGAAGCTTCTCGATGCTGGATTTGAACGATGGCGCGAGCCGATAGCGAGTGTTCAGTCTCGGAGTGTTGAAAGCTTCCATGCGTAGGGCAGTGAAGTGGCAAACGCTAACAATATGCCGGTGTACATATATTTGTGCAGACCATGGTAGCACGGAATATCTGAGGCTGTCATGACGGTAGGTCAGTACACTTTTGCCGCGTTCTGGCTATGTTGAGGTGTTGCTTCAAAAGGGTTGGTTTTGATTTGTAGAATTGTTCGCATTTGTCGAGTTCGAGGGCGACAGCTTGGCCGAGTGGTTAAGGCGTTAGCCTGCTAAGTTAATGGGGCAACCCGCTTGGTGAGTTCGAAT